ATATATACACCATTATTTACAATGACGTTTTGCCGCCAATTTCCACGGATTTCCATGTGAAAACCTTTGGAGAAACTCTTGAATTTCTTCTTCATTATAGAACGTCCCCCCTATCAAATCGTTTTGCACAGATCGAGAAAAGTAATAATCTGTTTATGCAAGATCAGGAAATTATGTTGACGAGAAAAGTGCAAACGTCTTTCTATCTTTCTCCTGGGTTATTTTTTTGCTATATGTTTTCTTGTGTTTTCATACTTTTATTAATGAGTCAAGAGCACTTTCCAAATTAACTTTTGGGGACTTGTAGCTGTCAATGAATTCATGAATACACGAAAATAAAAATGTCATAAGACATTAATGTGGCTTCTCGCTAGACTTATTTAACCTTTATAATGAAGCAATAGTGTATCCATAACCGAAATCATTAGTGTCAGTTATGCTTTGTGTTATGGGACCTTACCCATAATAACATAATGGACTATTCCATACGTAATAAATACTGCGCCTCAAGAGGAAGCAGGGAGTTCAGTCCGAAGTCGGGCGATCGGCTGACCGGCTGATCTGTTGAACTCTCTGCCTTCGGGCGGGGAGGAACCCAAACGAGGCTACACCGAAGGGTGGAGTCTCTTTCGGAGAGGTAAACCAACCCTGAACCCGTTTATACGGGTTAAAAGGGCATATTTTTGACCGAGCCCACAGGCTCGGAGATCCCACGTGCTCGGAGATCCCACGTTAAACCGGCCTTGTGCCACATGATGCCCTCGTTGGGGGGGTGACTAAATACTGTTCAGACTGAACTCTGGCGTGAGGTCCGTCTGAGGTCAGTCAGTAGTCAGAGGCAGTCCGAAACAGAGTCGCGTTCAGACAATTACTACTAAACCTGATTGTCCGTACTAACACTTTCTACTTCTCTGTATATATTCATCTCTGTAATATATCTGTGTTATTCCATATCCGTGTTCGAGTTCTTCTTTATTGGTTCTACCTTGGACTATCACTGTGGTACAAGGAACCGGACCATAACACTTTGGTTTTCAGATTTTTTGCAAGAAAACAGGATGAAATATTGTCAGCAGAAAGAAGAGTACAACATGCAAATTACTAATTGGTACAACATGCAAATTACTAATTGGTGATAACAAAAACCAGCAAGTATAACAATTTGATTATTTGATAAGTATTTTAACAGAGGATAAAAATTGTGACACCGAAGTCCGATGGTGCATTGGGAGTGAATGCCGAGACATTACCGCACCGATGGAGAAGATGCTCTTGAGACGATAGAAATGTGGTTCTACAGAATAAGGCCAAAAATCACGTGAGCAACAACGAAACTTTACAGAAAATGGAAACAAACATCAGGACTTCACATTAGGAAGAGACAGTTTAAATTTCTCGAATACATAAGGAGGAAAGAGGGCTTGGAAAATTTGACACTCAAACGACATATTGAAGGGTAGCGGGACAGAGGAACACAGGGCATAGACTTCTTAACAAGCTTATGTAAATGGTTGTCAGAACTAGGATTAGGAAAGATAGTAAAAAACACAATTTACTAAGAGCTACATAAGAGCGGAACTTGTTGAGAGCCATGATCGCCAAAGCCGTGAAGGTGTAGAGTACATAGAAGAAGAAGAAGAAGAAGAAGAAGAAGAAGAAGAATGTTATAAGTTACAAATCGTGTTCGCCTTTCCTGTTTACGGTTGAAATGCTGAAGTGTGCCATATACATCAATAACACACTTTAGCTGTTCCTGCAACTGAAAAGAGACATCCTCTACAAGCTTACCCACTTTATTCCCAGTTGAATCAACACGATCTGCCAACTGAGAGAATAGATTACATAATCAGTAGACATGTCAACCATTTAATATGTATGGGATAAGATGGAATGAAACATACGTTCATTTAACTCATCCACAATTTCCGAAATCTGAAAGCGCATTGGGAGAGAAAAAGATGCCTTCCAAAAGCTAAGCAACGTATTAAGAAATAGTGAAATTTGCTTAGAAACAAAGAAAAGAGAACTAAAATTTTATGGAACAACGATCTTCTTATATAGCAGTGAGATTAGAGCAACAGAAATGTAGGGCCTACAGAGGGAAGCTCCCTAATGCGCTTGTGTAAATGATTGTCAGAACTGAGATTAGGTGAGAGAGCAAAAACACACATTTTACTAAGAGCCGAAAAGGACCGGAAAAAGTAAAGTGCCATGGCCCACCACGTTCTGAAGGAAAATCTCTATCTATAAAAGGCAGGATGTGTGTGTGTGTGTGTGTGTGTGTGTGTGTGTGACGAATGCACGGCCGCAATTCTCGACGGATTTGCACCAAAATTTACATGCACAAGCTCCAAGTTAGCGATAAGGCCAAGACATACTTTGCATTTCCCAACTCCCATCAATAGTGGAAATAATCGATTTAATCATGCTTCTACGGCAGTTTTCATGTAGTTTGCAGCCATTTTGTACTGGCCAGAGTGAGAGCCAATAGCTGGCTGCCACGAATAGGCAGGAAGATTCTATTTGCCAGCGTGAGAGCCAACAACTGACTGACACGAATGTTAACTAGCATGCTAGCATGCAAACAAAATCGATAGCTGCATTCGTCACAAGTGGGAAAAACTTAAATCTGCATGGGACTTTACTCCATTTGGCTCATTCGCTTGCTTAAACTCAACGTTGATTCTGATTCCGCAGAACTGGGTTGGGTGTGAAAAAGTATTTGTTGTTAACATTCTTTTTTCATTCGGTTTTTCCAGTTACGAGTCCTTTTTTTAAAGCTGATCGTTTTGTGTTCATTTTGTTTAGTTCTTTTTTCGTAACAGATTTAATGTTGAGTATAGAGCTTAGAAAAAATTCGCAGTGTGAGATAGGCAAGAAGTAAGGCATGTAGCAACATCAGCACGGCAAAGGGCACACCTTTAAAGGCAAGGAAGGGCAAAAATATTTTAAGTCAAGTGATAGCGATTGCTGTATGAGTCGTACGATTTTTGAATCAAGCACGGGCAACGCCGGGCCATGCTGCTAGTGATAGATAAAGAAGAAGAAATGTTAAAGAAATGACAATCCCATCTCGTACACAACATTACTTACTTCAGTTGAGCTCATCTTTTGGGGTTGGTTGTGAAAAATATTCTTGCCATTCCGCTGCTTTTTGTATTGAAAATTGTTGTATGTAACCCATTTTTCATCACTTCTTCTATAGTAATTCACTAAGCGCAGTTTAGATGTGGCACAAGGCCGATATTGTAGGGCACCCAGTGAGGATCGAAATCATTATTCAGTCGTAACTGATCTGGCGAGATAAATGTACTAACCATTACACCATGTCGAAGCGCTCATATTTTCTAAGCGTAGTTTAGATGTGGCACAAGGCCGATATTGTAGGGCACCCAGTGAGGATCGAAATCATTATTCAGTCGTAATTCATCTGGCGAGATAAATGTACTAACCATTACACCATGTCGAAGCGCTCATATTTTCTAAGCGCAGTTTAGATGTGGCACAAGGCCGATATTGTAGGGCACCCAGTGAGGATCGAAATCATTATTCAGTCGTAATTGATCTGGCGAGATAAATGTACTAACCATTACACCATGTCGAAGCACTCATATTTTCTAAGCGTAGTTTAGATGTGGCACAAGGCCGAAAGTATAGAGCACCCAGTGAGGATCGAAATCATTATTCAGTCGTAATTGATCTGGCGAGATAAATGTACTAACCATTATACCACCTTGAAGCGCCTTGATTTTCTAAGCGTAGCTTAGATGTGGCACAAGGCCAAAAGTGTAGGGTCCCCAGTGAGGATCGAACACACTACTCTGTCGTATTTGATCTGGAGAGATAAGCTTGTTAAACTTTACACCACGTCGAAATGACCTGATTTTCTAAGCGTAGCTCAGATGTGGCACGCGGCTAAAAGTATGGTGTACCCAATGAGGAACGATCATATGGCATATAATGAAGAAAGAGTGATTGGAAAATCTTATTTCACAGGATGGATAGAAAGCAAGAGGGACAGAGGAAAGCAATGCGTATCATACTTGGCGCGCTTGAGTAAATGGATAGAAGAACAGGGTTAAAGGGAAATAACAAAAAGATCCATTTACGGCCTCAATTGTGACGATGTAAATAAGGATATTGACTAATACATTGAGTCAATAGCTTCGTCCACCGCAAGGAAAGTCGGCTTCCTGTGCCGCGACAGGAAATTTTTCTCGCCGGAGTCAATCCTTCAAATCTACAAATCAACCATTCGCCCTTGCAGGGAGTATTGCTGCCATATATGAACTGGAGCCCCTTCTGTTTGTCTCAAGGTCCTTGATAAAATCCAAAGACGTATATACAATGTAATTGGCTCTGATCTGGCATCTCGTCTGCAATCGCTCTCTCACAGACGTGCCGTTGTCTCCCTCTGTCATTTTTACAAATATTTTCATAGTAACTGCTCCGATGAGCTGCATTCGCTGGTTCCCAGACTTCATGAATTTAAGCGCTCAACTAGGCTGGCATCTCGCTTTCACCCTTTCACTGTCGAAACTGTTAAATATAGCCGTCTCTTCTACTACAATAGCTTCATGTCTCGAACTTCTCGCCTGTGGAACTTCCTCCCGATTTCTTGCTTTCCTGATAGCTATAATCTCCAACTATTCAAATGTAATGTCAATCGACGTCTCCAGATACCTTGATCTATCCCCTATCCTTCTCTTCATCCTTTCCTCTATCACTCCTCTTTGCTCTCTCTCCAACTCTCTGTAACCCCTTGTGTGCTAGTGGCTTCCCGCCTTGCTTGGGGTGGAATGCTTAAAAAAAAAGTGTTCAGGTCTTTTCAAAAAGGAAGAAATAAATGTTTGCGAACAGCAGCAGAAAAGATAAACGGCATGACAGGTAATTTTAACATATAAATATTGAAAAATAAATGCGCGGTGCAGCTGAAATTGTCACTTTCGCAGATTTCTCAATTCCGAGCCATTATCAAACGCACCACCCTCACATCCCAGCTTACAGCACTTGGTATTCACAAACTGTCACCTATCTAGGTACTGACCAGGCTTGACGTTGCTTGTCTTCAGTGATCATACGGGAACCGATATTGCAACGTGATGCGGCCGTTGTGTGGAAATGAATATCCTGATTATGGCATTATTTTAGCGTGGTATCCATTTTAGTTGGAATTGTCTAGTTTTTGTCATTTGTCAAAATTCTTCGTGAGTTTGTAACGCCGGGAATCATTAAAACTTTTTAGATATCTACTTCACAAAATCATGGTGAAACGGCTTTGGTGATTGGCGCACATCATTGACAAATTCTGTGCTAACTTTTTTTTTTTTCCTTTGAAAATAACATTTTTATTTTATGTTTAGTTTTTTCTCACTTAGCGCTTTCATTAAAAACAAAAAAAAAAAACAACACCTAAGAGCTTCCTGGGACATATTGACGTCTCTTGAAGTATTCACATTGTGTTCTCTCACTGCAACAATGACGCGGTAATACTTCCACATTTTGAAATAAATCTTATGTCGGTATAATATATCTGTTATCATATTACAAAAGAATTCTTCTCTCAATTGAATGCAAAATTTACAAGACATAATCACCATATTTCCAAAAGACCAAGTAATTCTTCGTTTAAAATTCCTCATGTTATCAACACAAATACTATACTGAATGCTTGAAGTAAACACACACACACACACATATATATATATATATATATATATATATATATATATATATATATATATATATGATTTTCTTAACCGTCAAAAAGCTAAATACTTCTTTAGGTCAAGTACTCGTTAGTAACAAACAAAATTTTGTTTTTTTACAACTTATGATGGCGTGTGGTCTACAGATGTTGGCCTTCTGGGACAATGGTAATCTTTTGGGTGGGAAACTGGGAATAAAACCATTTCGTTGAAATAACTACTCAGAATATTGACAAAGAGCATTTCTTTAGTCCCGACATCAAATCATTTAAATCTCTTTTACCGCTTTGTTTAAAAGTACGGAATGAAAAACGCTGGATTAGTATATTTAAGCTTATTTGCTCTTTGACGGTCCTTAAAGATGGCTGCCTTCAAATTCAAGAGTAGAAGTTCAACGCTAATTTAATTTTAAGCACAACAAAGCATGACACGCATTTATTATACGCGTTTTCACACTTGAACCCCCGATCACAAACTTGAGAAGAGAGCTGTTATCGCAGTTTGTATTCCGAGATTATTAGTTACGAGCAAGAAACGAATTTTTCTTCCCTCTTTTTCCGTCCCACATAGTTTACTTGAAAATGACTGAACGTTGTTTAATTTCTCTGTGTTGAGGCTTATAATACACCCACTGTATTCAGTGTAAAATTGTAACAGCACCGCCCCACCAAAAAAACGAAAAAAGAAAAAAAAAAGAATAGCAATGACACGACCTTCCAGGCGGATATTTGCAAACTCAGGTATAAATCGGAACTTGGTATATATATATATATATATATATATATATATATATATATATATATATATATATATATATATATATATAAAACAATGAATCATTCATGCAAAAAGTAGATTAGTAACATTCATAATCTACTTTTTGTGTGTGTATGTGAATATATATATATATATATATATAAAACAATGAATCATTCATTCAAAAAGTAGATTAGTAACATTCATAATCTACTTTTTTGTGTGTGTATGAATATATATATATATATATATAAAACAATGAATCATTCATTCAAAAAAGTAGATTAGTAACATTCATAATCTACTTTTTTTGTGTGTGAATATATGAATATATATATATATATATATATATATATATATATATATATATATATATATATATATATATAAATATAAATATAAATAAAAGAAAGAAACAGTAAGATATATAATCCGGAGTTCTTATAGATATTTTATTTTTACAAAATAGTGCTCAATGTAAATTTACAGAGCATTAATATTATAAATTAATTGATTTAAAATATGTTTTTTTTCGCTACACAGTTCTAACCATGTTTCAAAATGGAAGCTAAAAGCCCCGAATTTAATTTTGTGATTAAATTAAAAACATTTGTTCCATTTCATCGTCAAGCGAATTTTGGAGTAACTTTTAAAATTACTGGGTTTAAAAACCAAAAAAAAAAAAAAAACAAACAAAAAAAAACATTAATTTTAAAAGTTACTCCAAAATTCCCACTATTCCCACTTTCCGGCCTTGTGCCATAATTGTATTTTATTTACAATAAATATCGACATGAACATCTGAATGAGATATAATTATCCTGCAAATTAAACCAGAAAGAATCTCATCCGAAATGTGTCAGAAGGCACAACGTTCAACATGCCGTAATCAGAATAATAAAAATGAAGATGATGGTATTATTCCGAATGTAAATCTTTTGTCTTCTAGTCCTTTACTAAGTTTTATTAAATATCAGAAATTAAAAATAGTAAGAATTAGAGTCTGTTGAACAGGGACAATCAATGCAGAACACCAGGTTAATTGGGAAATAAATTGCTTCGGCGCAAGTGTTATCAACGTGGACTCTGAAAACACCCCCACCAATCATTGATTACTGCCACTTGCAAATTGAACTTATCGGCGGCCTCAACCTAGCCGTTATAACCCCAACGTTTTTTCGCGTCCCTGAACATTATTTTCACTCTTATTTCTCTTCCAGTCATGTCTGTACGGTCATTCGTCGACGGTCCACAACGCCAGACGATTGATAGCCAAAAACGGCAGGCTTGGCACCGTGCGAAGAAATTTCAACAATCGGCGCCGTTTGGCTTGATATATAGCCGAGAAAGTCACGAACAGCCAAGATCAGGAACAACAGAGGGCTTGACTGGAGATCTAGCCCTACCCCTGGATACATTTATCACCTCTTCATTCAGATCTAACTCCCCAAAATAACGCCAATGAAAATATATAAGAAAGAATACATTCTCACTAATAAAAAAACGAATTAGAATGGTAATTTTTTGTGTGTGTACGGGGGCGCCTTCTTAATAGTGTCGGCCGAAGTTATTTCTTCTTCTTCAATGGTTCGCGGGTTCGCGTTAAAAAAATGTAAGTTACAATGAGAAGAGAATCTACAAAATGGTGAGGGCTTCACACGACTTGAATTCTCTCGTGATTTCTTCTGTGTTTTGAAAACCTTCGGAGGAAAATTACTGGTCATATACAATGGCACAATTCAGCTAAATTGTAAATGAAATTGGTGGAATATCTTCTTTCTTTTAGGGATCATGCTTTAAAAGATTTCTTGTATATCAAGTTGGAAGTTAATTTGTATTTAAAGGTAAAACGACATGTCGAAATAAAGGTTTAATTGTAAAACGGCAAGCCAAAATACGCAGGAGTTTTAAAATCGCTACCCTGTTCTTAAAGATTCTTTCAAAATGAATAAGGAATCTTCTGTTTTCCTCACATTCATGCAAATATTCATTATTTTTTCTTTGCCCGTCTCCATCTCTCACTCTCTCTCTCTCTCTCTCTCTATATATATATATATATATATATATATATATATATATATATTAAATTACCAAACAATAGGAAACACTTTGTAGCACAACACATCGCCAAATGCAATGGAGGTATATTTAGAAATCTGCCAATATATCAAACAGACAATTATTCTTACCTAACAATACAAGAAAGAAATTCACTAAACAAATCATAACCACACTCGCATAAACTCACACACATAGTAGCCAAACACTAGTCAGACCAAACACACACACACACACACACACACAGTCACAAATAAAAATGGAGCATGTTGCTCAACTGCTTTCTCGAGGGCCTGTACCTTATAATGCTCCATAAGTTTTCTATGGGGTTGAGGTCAGGAGATTGGGGCGGCCATGTCATAACACTCCCCTGCTTCTCATCAAAGTATTCCTTCGTCAATTTTCATTTGTGACAGCAAGCATTATCCTGCAGGAAATTGAGTTTGGTGGTGTCGATTTGCACCCTTTCAGCAGAAGGGAGCAGACAAGACTCTAAAACACTCTTGTAATGCTCGCTCCTGATAGTCTTTTCAGTAGGTTTCAAGAAACCAGTTCTATGAAAAGAAACGCATCCCCAGAACATTATACTGCTTGACAGTACTCACTGCTTAATTCAAAGAGCTTTCAAAGCTTCTTCTTCGGATTTTAGATCGCTTATCCTTTGAATTTAGCTCAACTTTCGTTTCATCGGAGAAGGGAAGATTTAGTAAAATAAATCAGGTGAGTCACTTTTATCGAACAGCACTGTATGTTGATGTGTATTTGGGCAGAAACCTTTCTTTCATTAAAAACGGCCGACAAGATAGATTTAATCATTTATTGAGTTTTTTTTTTCAGCAATAGAATATTTTTCCTTTTTCAGGGGTTAAAGAATATAGGAATTGTGCATAGTTATAATTTGTCGCGAGCGTTTTGGCTACTTCTCTAGCAGTCACGTGATATGCGCGGCCAGTTGACCCTGGTAAGACTTCTACTTTTAGTAGACTTCTAACACTCCTCTGCTAAATACTGGGAGATTGATAGCGTGAGAATAAAGCTAAATAAGCAGAGAATGAGGAACTGTGTGCGACTATGTCATCTAAAAAGGATCTTTCTATTATCAACGAGAATCTTTCTCAAAATTTCTTGGTAGTTATGAGTTAATAAATGATTATTAATCGCACTCTGTTGCGACAGGTGACATGTAAGAATTAACTCAGTGAGGTTGTGATGTGTCCGATATAATTCATTGGCTTTTGACAAGTAACACAGTCTTGTACAGAGCATTGTAATTGGTACATTATGTTGGATATATATATATATATATATATATATATATATATATATATATATATATATATATATATATATATATATTAAGTAAGTAAAAAAAACTTGGTAACCCGTATGGGTAATCCCAAGGAGGATGAAATCCAGAGAGCTCAAAGTTAAATCAGAGCGATTAATTTAATTTAATGAAAACAGACAAGGATCCATTGGTTATAATTTATTTCCCCTGAGAATTTCTTTTTCCTTGATTTGATTATAGTGGTGAAGGTTTCGTGCAGGACCATCCACACTTTTTTGAAGGGCCGAATACAGAGAC